CTAGACATGACTCATCTGGCCCCTTCCCTGCTCCACCTGCCACTCACCATGCCTTGTTCCAACGCCTTCTTGATGCGCCTGGCGTCTGCCACTGGGAACCAGATCTCAGCGATGACGCACTGCTGGGTGACATCGATGTTGCACATGTTCAGGATGTGATAGATGGCCTTCATCTTCTGCACCTTGATGACCCAGGAGTGCCAGCTGGCAGCTGCTTCTTGCAGGAGGCTCTGACGGTGACGCTCGGTTTGTGTTATAACCTGGACAGAAAACAACCCACAGAAAAACAAGGAACACTCCCGAAATGCTTGGAAATGTGGCAAAGACGGGGTTCCTCAGCCGCAGTGGCTTCCTTTGCTCTGGGCTCCCTCCTCTGGCCTGTGGCTCTCACTGGGCCTTGAACTCTCATGAGCAGTTATCTCCCTTACCAGAGGTTAAAACCCTCAGGCAAAGTTTTTCTATTTCTTCTAAATTCCTTCCAGTACTATTGTTCTGTGTTGTATCCTGTGTCCCCCAAAATAAGTTAAAGTCCTAACCCCTGATAACTGTGATCTTATTTGGAAATAGGGTCTTTGCAGATGCAATCAAGTTAAGATGAAGTCATGCTGGAGTAGGTCCGGGCTACTCCAACGTGACTGGTGTCCTTATAAGAAATTTGGACATCGAGGCACATAGAGAACGCCTGTGTGGATGGAGGCAAAGACTCAATGAAACCAAGGAAACCCAGGAATGCCAAGGACTGCCAGGAAGATGTTCTAGTTCATTAGGGCTACTACAGTAAAATACCGCAGACTGGGTGGCTTATAAACAACAGAAATGTATTCTCACAGTTCTGGAGGCTGAAGGAGATCAGGGTGTCAGCATGTTTGGTGAGGGGCCTCCTCTGGGTTGCAGACTTCAAATTCTATCCTCACATGGCGAAATGGGCAAGCAAGCTCCAGGGGGCTCCTTTTATAAGGGCACTAATCCCATTCATCAGGGCTCCACCCTCATGACCTAATTACCTCCCGAAGGCCCCACCTCCTAACACCATTCACCTTTTAGCATTGGGTTTTCAACACATGAATTTGGGGGGAACCCAAAGATTCAGATCATAGCAGAACAGGCAAGGAAGGGTCCTTTCCTAGAGCCTTCAGAGGAAGCATGGCTCTACTGTAGCCTTGATTTCAGACTTCTGGCCTCTAGAGCTGTGAGAATAAATTTCTGGGGTTTTTATTTGTTTGTTTTAAGATTTTTTAATTGATCTTTAGAGTGAGAGGAAGGGAGAGGGAGAAAAACATTGATGTGAGAGCAAAACATCAATCTGCTGCTTCTTGCACACCCCCTACCAGGCAGGGACCGAGCCTGCAACCCCGGCAAGTGCTCTGACTGGGAATCAAACCGGTGCCCAGGATGACACTCCAACCAACTGAGCCACACCAGTAAGGGCAAATTTCTGTTGCTTTAAGACACCCAGTTTGTGCTGATTTGTTACAGCAGCCCAAGGAAACTAATCCACTTGTGAAAAATGCTTTACATACATAATCCCTCCAAAAAATGGCAAGTGAATTAAGGAATGAGGCGATGAATGGAGGTTTGGCCCACGAAGAATTTATTTAATGGAGTCAGTGTTTGCTCTGGTGGAACAATAGAGTAAGCCTTTTCATTCGCCTTTACATGTGGCTACCCAGGTCACACTAAACGCAGCATATGTTTGGCATAGCTTCTTTTCCATTCTCCTCATGAAGTATTTGGGGGAAAGGGCCTTAAGAGAAACACAATCTCCTTGACAAGTGACAAAGGGCAAATAAAGAGAATTAAAGAAATCAAACAGATTTTTCTTGGAGGGTGAAAATGTCTTCTGTTAGCTTAAGAGTTTTGAAACACACACACCTAATTTCTAAAGACAGCACTGCGGATCTAGAACTGTGCTGACCAGTACATCAGCTGCACAGAGCCACTAGAATTTAAATTTAATTAACATTAAATAAATATGAGAATTCAGTTTCTCAGTTGCACTAGTCATGCCCCAAGAGCTCAATGGTCACACTGGCATATGTGATATATATATATAGATATCTATATATATAGAGATATCTATATATATATATATCTATATAGGTATCTATATAGATATATAGATATATAGATATGGGTTATATAATGTTTCCACCACCACTGAGGTTCCGTTGGGCAGCACTGATGGAGAATTTACAATATGCTGCAGGACCAGGTGCTCTTAGTGATTACTTTCAAAGCTTATTAAAGAAAGTGCTCTAATGATGTAGGTGTTGAGTGCCACCCTGGGTGATGACAGACTTTATAAGAGGATATGGCCCGGCTGGCATAGCTCAGTAGTTAAGCATNGTGTTGAGTGCCACCCTGGGTGATGACAGACTTTATAAGAGGATATGGCCTGGCTGGCATAGCTCAGTAGTTAAGCATTGACCTATGATCCAGGAGATCGTGGTTTGATTCCCAGTCAGGGCACATGCCCGGGTTGCGGGCTCGATCCCCAATCGGGGTCGTGCAGGAGGCAGCTGATCAATGACTCTCTCATCATTGATGTTTCTATCTGTCTCTCCCTCCCTCTCCCTGAAATCAATAAAGACATATTTGGAAAAAAAAAAAAAAAAAGAGGAGATGAACCTGGGGTGAGTTCACATGGCGAAACCAGACTGGCTATTTTTACAGAATTAATTGGTCGATTCAAACAACTGGGCGACTCAGCAGAAAAAGAATCGGTCAGACTGGTTGTTCAACCTAATTGGCTAGTTCGTTGTATCATAGGCGAGGCCGGGCTGGCAACCGAAGGCTCCTTTCATCAGGCCGCGGTGGCCTCGGGCTGTGGTCAGTTCTAACTCCAAAGCATTACTGACGGCAGGGTCATGAGCTCTAGCCCGTGGAGCAGTTTCTTAACTATGAAATCTGCACCAGGAGCTGCAGGAGCCCAGCCAGCATCCCAGCCAGCGCTCCAGCCAGGGCCCCAGCACAGGGCTTATTCGGCAGCTGGAGAGGTGGCCCAGCCGCAGTGCCCCCGGGTGACACGCCTGAGCCCTCACTCACGGTGGTTAAGTCTTCCAGCCTCGTGTTGATACCAGCCAGCAGCTCCTTGCGCTCCGCCGCGGGCTCCGGGCAGGGGTGAATGGTGGCTCGGAACCTGTGGCCAGTGCATTCCAAAGGGACACGTGGTTAAGCTCAAAAGCCTCCTGCCTAAGATCTTCTTCTGCTAAGTCACCATTTGCTGGCTTCAGTGAGGCGGCCACCTTTTCCCAGAGTAACCCTCCCCGTGGCCGTCAATAAATGAACCCCATGACAAGGGCTCCCGACACATGGCTCACGGTCTGAATTAAAGCTGGGGTTCTATTACAGGAATGAGCTTCATTCAAACCATAAAGCCTGTGAGCTGTTATTTAAATAAAACTGCCAGCTGAACTCGTCCCTTCCTCCCCCCCAGAATTTATTAATGCGCTAATGTGAGATGATCTTGTAACATTAGAAACAGCTTAGCATGTGGTTTGCCTGCGAGCAGGGACACGCTGCAGTGGTTAAAACGCCCGCTTTTAGTTACCTTTCAACTTTGCCTATTTAAGTTCTCTCTGTTCCTGTTTCCACGGCTACTCCAAGTCAGTTGCATTTTTTTACACTATCTTGTCAAATGCCAGAAAGTTATTCTAGATCCCTAAACAGACCTCAAAGAGGCCCCGACCGATCGATCGATCGTGTATTCGGCATTGCACGCCTCTTGGCCTACTCCCGACCCAAGGCGCTGATGGAAGAGCCACTGCCAGTCTCCTTACCCCTCGCAGATCTTCCTGATCTTCTGCCTAAGCTGCTCTCCTTGATAAAATATGATGAACATGTTCTTTTTCATTTCTTCTTTCTGGAAAATCAGAACAAGGGAAAAATATTCATTTTGCTTTCTCGTTAGACAATCATCAGAATGTAAAATTCTGGTTTTAGGTATTTAAAAATATATAAATTTTAAACAGGAACACTTCAATTTCTCACGGTTGATCCGAGTTCATAATTCATTATGGTTGAGGGCAGGGCCACCGAGGCAGGCTGTTCGGGGCCAGCAGGGGGACCAATGAAGCCTTAAAGGGACAGCTCCACTACTGGCTACACGAGTTGGTCGTTTCTGAATCTCTTAGGTTCTTTTGTCCCTTGACCCACCAACATCAAGAATCCATTCTGATCTCTGGTCATCTGCTCAGTGGACCTTCAAGGTCAACAGGCATCTTTTTCCAGATGCTCACTTAGAAATACTCTCCCTCTACCATGACTATTCACACCAAAACACGATTATCAAAGTGATGTTTCAATGTCAAATTCTAATATTCATAAAGGAAAGTAGCAATGCAGAGGGAAAATTATACCATCTAAATGAAGGGAAGGTAGAAAATGATTTCCATGTTATTACTACAACCACATTAAATTATACCTGCCTACCTATGGCTACAGACTAGAGAAAAACAGCACGAGAGAAAAACAAAAATAAAATTAAAATTAAAGTGGTGAGGGTTTGTGGGGTTTTTACCTAATAAGTTTTCATCTTATTTTAAATTTTATTTAACTATGAAGATGTTTTCTATAAAATAAAACTTAAAAATTAATTTTGTCTAGCCCCTACTGAAAAGATTATGACTTTTACAAATAAGCCTAGCTTCTCAGAATTAAAGTACAAGTGGATTTAAATACCAGCCAGAAGGCTAGAGGCCCTACGTAATTAATAGCAATAAATGTGTGTCCCCCAGTGAAGACCACTCTTGACATCCCATTTGAAGTGTGTGGGCTGTTGACTACCAGCATCAGCGAGCTTGTTAAAATGGAGACTCTCAAGCCCCCCCTGCAGACCCACTGAAGCAGAATTTGCATTTTAACTAGACCCCCCAGGTCATTTTTATGCTCGTGTGCACACTGGAACATGAGGCACACTGACCTAAATCAGTTTGGTTCTTTGTGATTAAGACTCAGCCTGGCCAGGTAGCTCAGTTGGTTAGAGCATCGTCACAATACGCCAAGGTTGCAGGTTCGATCCCTGGTCAGGGCACATACAAGAAGCAACCAATGATGCATGAATAAGTGGAACAACAAATCCATGTTTCTCTCTCTCTCAAATCAATTTTTTAAAAATCATGACCAAAAAAGCCAAAGAAACAAAACAGCTGCTGCCTAGTGTGGAAAGAGTATAGCTAAGTTTCTTGAAGGAATGAATTAATAAGAATCAGCCTTTGACTTGACCTTTCAAAGGTATAAAAAAAGAAGAGAAAGAAAGGATATAGATAACTGGCTTCGTAGAACTAGAGGCTCGGTGTTGGAAGGAACGAAAGCCCTCTGGTGAGGCTACAGGACATTGAAGAGAAAGTTATGTGCAGCCTGAGATACCCACTGTGACCGGATCCTCCAGAACCATGTCCATCTCACTGAACTTCAAGTAGATGTTTCCTCGGCAAACTCGCCACAGCAGCCTCTCAAAGGAAGCCATCCTCTCCCTGTTTATCACACCAGCCGTGAACCTGGTGTCAACAGTCAGAAGAGGAGACATTACTGAGGTACAGGGAGTGGGGGGCAGGGAGAAGGCTCTGGAAGACGTGAAGGTGTGAAACCACTGAAGGGCCACTTCCCCCTGAGCAGGACGTGGTGACACAGCTCCACCTGGCACTCTGCGTCCCAGCCCTAATTTGCCTGAAGTCCCTTGTGACCTGTTTTCTTTGACATGGTGAGGTTTCCTTAAGCATCCCAATATTATGCATTCAATTATTTTCAATTAAAAATATGACAGACCATTCATTATAGCACTATAGGTGCTCAAAATGCTCAACGATGGTTCCTGTGTATTTTTACAAATAATGTACTAAGAGCGAAACACATACATGGATTTGTATATGCCTTTACTCTAACCATCATCCAGGTATCTAGATAATTTCTGACTTAAACTTTACCCTTTAACCTTAAGATGGTTACTTTCACTGGTCTATGATTTTAAATGTTCACTGGCCTATTAATCTAAATATACTTAAATATTTAAGTTAAATATTTCAATATTTAAAATATTATTTTAAATGTGATCCTATATTGCTTTCTTTTTTTAAATATACTACTTTCTGCTAAAATATTTCCAATGTTTTTTTCCATTTCAAATTCAATGCCTAGAATCTCCCATAGCAGGCCCTCAGGTATCTATTGAATAAAAAACTAGAATTGCAAAACTCAGCACTCTGATCAATTCATCAGTTCTGCTTGGACACTGTGTGAAAGCCATCATTTTGAGTCAGCACACATTTCGATGGGCCTCATTACGCTGTGCCACCACTACTTGCGAATGACTTGATCGCATAACTATATCATTTCTACTCAGACTTCAAACTTCAAAGTCCAAATCTCTTTTCTTATCAAATCAGTATTTCAAAGTTAAAGAAAAAAAAAACATGTATCTCATAAGTCTGTTCCAAAGCCAGGGAACAGTTAAGAAAACCTATCAAAATGATTATCCCTGCCCTGGCTGGGTAGCTCAGTTGGTTAGAGCATCATCCCGATACACCAAGGTTGCGGGTTCGATTCCCAGTCAGGGCACATACAAGAATCAATCAATGAATGCATGAATAAGTGGAACAACAAATCGGTGTCTCTCTCTCTCCCCCTAAAAATCAATTTAAAAATCAATTTTAAAAAATGATTATCCCCACATCTTTCCCATGTGGGGACAATACAAACATTGCACTCTTTGGGCTCATTCCAGTGGCTATTCGTTTGGCTGGTCATTCATTCATTCATGCATTCATTCATTCACTCTCACGCAGGGAAATCCATCACATGCCAGGCACTGAGCTACCAACCAAGGACCCGTTTCCACATAACTTTCAGAGCCGAGTTACACTAACCCCAGCTTCCCGGCCATGTACGCAGGCATCGCTCGTAATTCCAGGAGACCAGAAGTGTCCTCAGTAAAGAAATCATCAGGTAAGTTGGTTTCCGTCTGAAAGTTAAATGATCAATATTTTCATTTAAATGTATTTAACCTGCCTTAAAAGCCTCCGCACCTCAAGCTTTCTTTTGTTTTTATGGAAGCTTGAATTTTCCAGAAATAATTAACAGAATTCAAAAAGTAGAGCACTCCGTGCCCCCTCAGAAAGCTTCCCCAGTCTCTTCCTACCCAAACCCCCAATCCACTCAAACGAACTGTTCTGCTGTGTTCTGACTTCCACTTCTGCCGGGCCCTGGGGGGCCCATACCTGTTAATAAGCGTCACTGTATGTTTGCACTGAATTCAACCAGCGCCACTGACTGCACCCAGGACACTCTCCCCTCACCCATGGCCTCGCCAAGGGACAGAACAGTGGCTGGTTCACATTCCAAAGCAGACAGCTTTCAAAACCAAAATTTGAGGTTCTGGGAGGTGGGGGGAGGGCCCTTTACCAAGTAGTCCCCAAATAGTGACCTCAAAAAAGTCCTGGGTTTTCTTCAGGAGGTATTTGAATTCAGTCAGTTCTAGGAAGCTTCTCTTCAACGCCTGATGGTTCTGGTTGGCTTCCTGTAACTCCCCTTCCAGTTTTTCTAGAGCGGTCTGTAAGGAGGGACAGAAAGTCCAGACAGAAAGTCCTATGGCATTTACTGTACATTAACCACACGGGTAAGTAAATAGAAAAGAGATATTCAGGGCATCATAGTGTAGCTGGGGCGGAGTGGCCCATGCAGTCGTTAACTCATTGTGACTGCCAAGCTATGGGCAGGAGCCACAGTCTCTCTCCCAAGTCCCATCTTCAT